GGGGGGGGGGGATTCGCCGCGGAAGAGGCTGTTGAACAAATCTTCACTCTTCGCAGGATTCTGGAACACCACCACAAAATCCAACAGCCTACCAAGGCATGATTCATTGATATCTGCGCTGCGTTTGACTCTGTCGATAAAGAATCCTTGTGGTCTGACGGGATATCTGAGAAGTTCATCAGGCTTTTCAAGTCATACAACTCAGGAACGTGCGAGAAGAATCAGCTCTGGAATCAGGCAAGGTTGCCCCTTATTGCCCATGTTACTCAATTACACCGTGGATCGGACAATGCGACAAGCACTCATCGACCACCTCGGAATGCAGCTTGGCCTAGGTATATAGACTGCTGACCTCGAGATTGCGGATAATGTCGTTGTACTTGGAGACATCATGAACAACCTCGAGCCTGTTGTCAGTCGTATAGATCAGTTTGCCCATGCCACTGGGCTAGAGACCAACACGTCAAAAACGAAAACATTTTTAACCGAAACTTCTACCACGATAAAACCCCTCTCGATTAACGGGGAGTTTGTCGAAGCAACCGAAGTTTTCAAATACCTGAGCTCTTCTATAAGACCGAATGGCCAGGCTACGGATGAAATCCAACTCCGTGTAGATGGAGCTGGAAGAGCCTTCCTGCAACTCCTAAAATCGTTGTGGAATTGATGCGAAGCTAAAACACTAAGCTTCGGGTTTATCAGGCTCCCATTCGAACCATCCTCATTTACGGTTGTGAAACCTGACCGCTAAGAGTACAAGATACAAAGAAGCTCAAAGTCTGTAATCATTGGTGCCTAAGCCTCATCTTGAAAGAAAATTGGAGACCGGATTTCCAATGACGAGGTTCAACGGCGCTGCTTGAAAATTGACGAGTTTTCAAAAATGCTACAACGCCGGCGCCTTAAGTGGTTTGGTCATGTGCTCCCAAGGCCCGACACTCAACTCTCACTCAACAGACTGTAGCCCCCGAACCATGCCGTGGATGGTGTTGTCTACTCGGTGGTCAACTGAAGACCTGGGAGAGGCGGATTTAGAATTACTGGACCTCCAATCCGTATATGGAATTCGTAACTGGAACTAGAACAGGGTTTCACACTGCGTCCACCTTGCCACAGATCGCCATGCATGGGCCGCCAACATTAGAGATATCCAAGAAGCCGACTCATCCTGCCGCAGTTGTTAGTCAACCAAAACTAAAGAACGAGTAACAAGAAATAAGTCTAGCTCTACCAAGCACCAATTTCTCACACAAGAAACGCCACCGTCTTACATAGAAAATGCCAATCTGTCCACAACGCTGGACCCGAATCGGCCACATCGTTATCAGTTACCGCTGGAGGGGATCGATCCAAAACTGCCACTCTTACTAGTCGACACCTGTGGATACGGACCACGCTTTGATAAGAGCCCAATTCTCCTTACGCCTGGCAAACAACCGCACAAAAGCTACCGACAACGGACACCCAGGGTACCGTGTCAGCAACTGCTGCAAGTCGACCTTCGAAGTGGAACTCTTTGAACACCTGTAAGTTCCACCAACAGCCGAAGGACTCAATGAACACTGAAAGTAAATCAAGGAAGCTATACAAATACCAATGAAAACAACGTCGGACCCTGGCACAAGCTCAAAACTCAAACGATGGATTACGCCGACCGCGGTTGCTCTGCTGGACACCAGCAGAACCCTTTCTCCTGCTGCCACATAAAACAGCGCGCAAACCTCTTAAACGCCAGCTCATCGGGAGTCTGGGGAATAACCACGAGAAGTGGTGGGTAGGAAAGTGTGAAGAGATGGAGAAAGTCGCGGCTATCGGTAATAGTCACAAACTTTTCCGTCTAATTAGAAATACGGGCCCGAGGAAAATAGGCGTGAGGCAATAAAAGAATCTGATGGTACACTGATTCATCACCAGCAACGCAGTCTTGATCGATGGGCTGAACACTTCAAGGCTCAGTTCAATTGAACTCCATCAACATCTGGCTTATCAACTCCCGCCTCGACTGGGCAAATGTTCCCAGTTGACCGTGATCTTCCATTTGAAATGGAGGTTACCCGAGAAATAAGTTATCTCAAAAGGCATAAGGCTTCCGGCCCCGACGGGTTGTCCCCATCCGTCTTTGAGGATGGATGTCTGGCCTTGGTTTTGGAGTTCGTGAAACTCCTAGATTTAGTGTTGGAGACGGAACAGGTTCCAACTGAACGATGTGAATCAGCCTTCATACCGAGTTACAAGAAAGGTGACAGGTCCTTTTGTGAAAAGCACAGACCTGGTGCACGAAAGTGCATGGTTAATGGTTTTGAATTGAACTAAACTGAACTTAGCGGTCTAGAATCCACATAAGAGCTACTGCAGCCTACAATCGATCCTTCTCAGTCAAGCGGATGCCATAGCGAGGATTTCTCATATACTGTAAAAATAAAAATTAAATATCCCATACATTTTTGGTACTAAATCCATTTTTCACAACCCGATATTTATGATACTACCGTTCAGAAGTCTAAGAAATTCACTTTAATGCTGTCTCTAGAATGGAAAACAGGATACACCAATAGTGCTCTCAAGACCACGTTTTGGGGTGAACCAGCATAAAATGTGAAATACGTTATTTTTACCGACCCGTAAACGGTAATACAAGGTTGCATAATGACATCTTTTGTCGATCTACTCTTTTTGACAACATTCAGTTCAAAAATTGCTTATAAATTATGTATTGGTCGTTGATACTTTGACTTTAGGGGCACTTCAAACAGGCCATCTTAGCTTTCATTCCATGGTGTGACATTCTACATATGGCTGAAGAGCATAGCGTGCGACATGGGCAAAAAGTTCAATAAAATGCAACATTACATCCCCAGAGACGTCTAACGGGGACGGTTACAAAAAACTAGAACACAAATGCACATTAATGAGTGTTTACCTTATCATTCAAGATAAATCCCGCGACGTACGTTAACGCGACCATCAGGTAACAAAATGAGAGGAAAATAATGGGCCTCTCAGGGTACTGGAAACGAGGCATGTCGATCAGGAACGTCAAAACAGTAAACAACGTAGAAGCCGCACACAAACAACTCCATAAACCAATCCAAAGCCGTGAGAAGCGACGGGATGAGGAATCGCTGAACAGGAAATCGTTACAGGGTATTCCACAATCCGGGATGATTTGCCCGCTCCCCATTCGAATTCGGAACTCAAAGCTTGGAGGAACCTAATGAGAATTTTATGCACAATTATTAACCATATAATTACCCTCATGTGCACGGGGCATGTGAAAGAAGGTTCGCTCGGAGGCTGTTTTTCCGTTTTGTTCTCCGAAATGCAAAGTGAATCCTCGGGAAATCTAGCACAATCCATCATAGGTGGCCACTAAGACAATGAGAATATTCTACGAGTCTCACCTCAAAACTAAAGCCACGCATCAGCGGTTCACAATCCTTCCGATTCTGCTCGCACAACGACCGACATGGAGGAAGAGGATTCTTCATCACGGTGCACACGGGAAAGTATAAAGAACAAAGGAACAATTTGAGCGACGGACTACATTTAATGCGAATAAGTGAAGAGAACTGGTTGATTTCCTGTAAGGCTTCTTCTTGTGTCGACTGTCCCATATCATTTGGAAATATTGTTATGTTATATGGGAGATCTTGGCAGGCTTTTACACGGATTGCTTCACATTTCGGAGTTTCCGCGTAGGGGTCTTCTAATCCACGTTGGATATAACAATTCACTCTTAAACTCAGAGCACACAAAATACAAATGATAAATGCACCCATATCCGCGCATAAAAAATGGCGCTTGTATAAGCACCTCACCCTTTGCGCCGCAGACACTCGACCTTGAAGTTTCAGTTTTCACAGGACAAATATGGTCAGGTCAGTCAGTCAGTCAGTCAGTCAGTTTGCACAGGACAGGAGATGGCCACGGCCAATCGAG